AAGCAAAATATAAAATTATTTTATTATATCTTAACGTTTGTAAAGCAATGTTTTTCTCGTGCCTTTTTTTTTCTATTCACATGATGCCTATCTAACATGCAAAGTAATTTTCATTTTAAAATTAAAAGTACTTTTATGTGTCAGAAAGTTTTCAATTTCACATGCCAAATCTATATAATGTCCAGATAGTTATCAAACGTTTCTTACGAAAAATTTTATATTTTATCCATTACTTTCAGTGATGAATCTCTGTACAGGTTTGGTAGATTTGACCAATCTGGTAACCACCATAAAAAAATTAAGAAATAAATATAAATTATGCCTCTTTCATTCTAGAATGAACACAAATTATAACACAAAAACGTAAATGTTTAGACTAAATAGCTTAAATCTCATAAAATATACACTTATATATATTTTTATTATATTGACTGTCCAGCCACGCCTGGCTAACAATACAAAAGTTACAATGATGCAGCACATGCACTCATGTTACCGTATCCAATAACATAAAACTGGCCTTTGGTCTGTACAAAGTGACTTGTCTTGTCTGTGTTTTAGTAGAGTAGTATTTTGTAAAATACAGTCACATTTCAATTATTATACATTATATATGTATATAGATTATTGTTATTTTGAAATCAGTTCTTAAAGTTATTTTTCCTAAAACATAGAACAGTAAATAAAGAAATAAAGCAAACAATTATCTCTTCTAGTTTTGACCCTTGTACTTGGTTGCTAAGCCTTTAGAAATTTTGCACGTGGAGAATATGAAACAAAATAATTTTTAGAAGTTTTATATATACTTTTGAATAACTAAAAAATCATAAGTTACTACATCAATACCATTTATCAAGCTTAGTAACTAAGATGTATTTTAGTCCAAAAAGTATGAAATTTTGAGCAGACTAAAGACACACCCTACCTCCTTGAAATATTTGTTCAAAAGAAAAAAATAGCATCTAAGCCCATTAAAATGGCTGTGAAGGCCACTAGGGGGACATTCTGAGTTTCTGATTGGTTATTCATGTCATATATAGAAGTAAGTGTATATAAGGGAGAGTTTCCAAAAATGGAAGGAGGTGAGCAGGGTGCCACTATGTTTGATTTATTATGCCAGCAATATCTTAGCAAATAGAAAATATAAGACCTTTTTATTTTATATTCTAGCTTGTCAATATCGGTAATCTGAGTTTTTAATTCATACGAAACTATAGAATTAATATTTTGACTTCACAAATACCTAATTTGAACCAGTGCTGCATTCAACATACCACGTGACACACAAAAATCGAAAATTACCTGTGTTTTTTTAATATTTACTTTTAAATTAAGAAATGGAGTAATGTATAATATTCAAATTTGAATTATAATCTACAGTTTGGTACCAAAATTATTGACATAAATCCATGAAATAATAGTTCAATAAAATTTTGAATGCAAATCAACAAACGAGATGACATGGCCTTTCACCCATAACCTGTCTCAAAAGAGTTAAACTACAACAACAACTGAAATATTAGATCTTTACAATAACATTAGTTTCAAGAACTGTAAAATTAAGTTGATTATTCATATGTTTTAAAATTCCTAAAACACCCACTAACAGCAACATGTTTATAACAAACATCAAAGTTTCAGGCAGATTTTACATCTACCATAATATAATTCCTTATAGCTTCTTATCTGTTATTAAAATATGCTTATGTTGATTAGAGCAAACTCTTCATGATTGTCATGCTTTGTTTTTTTGTTTTAATTCAAGGATTAATTCAGCTCACAGCCCCTTTATCTGAACAAAAACAAAGATCTGACGATGTAACGTGCAGAAAAACAGGCATAGCAACTGCTTACAGGTGAAAGAAGCAAGACACTACTGAAATCAATATAGAAATAAAATGTTTTATCTAATTAGTGTCAGCTGATCATCTAGTGGTAAGACTATTGAAGACGAAGATAAATGAAAACTAATTAAAAGTTATCAAATGATCAACAGATATAATTGGTAACAATAAGGCCTAATTAATATGTCTTAGCTATTTCATGTCATAAACCTGACTTTCCTCCTCAAAAGTTGGACCAAATCTGATGTGAAAGTGCCAAAACTGCATTTACAATAAACATTCTATCTGAAGCTGACCAATTAGAGAACCGACTGTCCTCCTACTTTGTTGGAACTAATCTGACGTGAAAGTGCCAAAACTGCATTCACAATACATTCTCTCTGTAGCTGACAATTTCAAAATGAGCTGCCTTCCTCACAAGTGGAACTGAATCTGATGTGACAGCATCAAAATTTAATTCCCAATAAACATTCTTTCTTTCAAAACATATCTCCCAGGTAGGACACACTGCATCTATCTCATGAATCAGTATATAACTTTCTTGACTGGTTAAGCTACAAATAGTAACATGTCAGGTTGGTCTTATCACATGACCTTAAAAGGACTAAGGATGTTCAAAATCAAAATTTAGGAAAGTTTTAAATTCCATAGATAAGAAATTATATATAAAGGAGAGTAATGTATGTAGAACACACAGAAATAAAACTATAAGGAAAATTTTCTGCCTAAGTTTCAAGGATGTTTGTCACATACCGGGATCGGTGTAAGGGAATGGTGGAGCAGGAAAGTCATCTCTTTCAATCCTGGGAATTTCTGTAGGTTTAGGTCGTTGTGCTCCTGGGTAATGTGATAATTCTATCGGTTCCTCATTATTCATGTATGGAGACTTGGGTCGAGGTACACTAGACTGGATGGATTCCACTGCAAACAATATTTAAGATAAAAGATATTTTACATGGATAAGAGAAATATATCATTTTAAGTTAATAACTTGTAATAAATAACTTTAACAAAACTGTGACGTACAAAACATAAAAAAGGATATCGGAATGTAAACATCCCCACAAGAGCCATTAATCACTGCTAAATAATTAAATATCATAATGATTAATGTCTATTACAATAATCTAAAACAACATTTACACTTACACACTTCCTTTTTTGCTAAATACCTAAAATATTAAGTGTAATAAAGACAAAGCAGCCTTATAGGTGTAAAGAATCTTCTATAAAAAATCAAACCAAGTTTTCATTCAATTTCTCAAACTTTACTACCTATTTCTATAAATTTATAAAACTTACCAAGAACAGACATCCCTGAAGAATCCAACATCCACCATTAGAATAATCACAGTTTTTGATATGAAACAAAAAAGTGATTGATGAGCAAACAACCTAAACTATGTTTAATGTTCAGAGTTTCAACTCAAGTTTAAATAAATGAATCAATTGCTTGTATAAACACACAACACCTGTGTTATTTCACATATATATATGTATCAATTACTACATTAAAATATAACATAAACACATAATGCCTTTATTACTTTACAGATATGTATAAATTACTTCATTAAAATATATCATCTACACACAACATTTGTGTTACTTCATAGCTATGTGTCAGTTATTTCATTAAAATATAACATCAACACATAATGCCTTCATTACTTCACAGTTTATAATGATGGAGGTAATTAAAAATAGATGTAAAATAAATCAGAAATATTTTTTTCATTGTTAAACTTTGGGACTTCACCTTAGAAAACTTCATAAATTTAATTATATAATAATATCTTTAAAAGTTCAAATACAAACTGAAAAAGTACTGAGTAACCAAGCGGTACCCGACACATCTCGGACTGAACAATCAAAGATTTGTTCACTCTTCATCTTCAGTTTCTTTTACAATTTCATTACTACATTACAAAAATTTCTTGAATAATTTAAAAACTTAGTAAGTACATTTTAGAGTCAACACATCAAACCAATTCAAATTTAAAAATACACAATTTTCTTTAATGATGTATGAACATGCCCATGTCTCTTTTTATTCCAACCTATTATGTTGATCTCCACCAACAACACACAAAATATTTTTTGTCTGAGTTATATAATTATGTGATCATATATTATTCATAAATAGAAAAAAAATGTACTGTAAAAAGCCACAACAGTGAGGACTAGTACAAAACACTTAAAAGTCGGGTGTAAAGGTAAAGGACATAAATTTAAAAAAAACCTCTCTTGTCAATGCACATAACTGTCAAAAAATAAAATAATATTAAGATATCAAAAATATTTTTCAGGCATTTTCTTTGTTAGATGTTAATAATCTATTATTCCATTCATAACTGTCTCTCATTATTTAAAATAATACCTTAACATTTACAAATACATTGTTGTAACAAAGAAAGAACTTTTCACTTACTTTAAATTAGAAGGGAGTCTACTAATATTGAGAAACTTGCCTTGTTTTGTTCCTGACGATCTTCCTGGTGATCTTCTTTTCAAACTTTCTGCAGAAAGGTAACATTTACAGATGAACAATTTAAACAGAATTATTTTGTAATCTAATATATGAGGTCAGGTTACAATGTGTTACATAAATCCTAATATCAGATATTACCATCAATGAATATGTTACAAAGCTATATAAATCCTGACATCATATAATACTATCCATGTATATGTTACACTCCACGCTGTTATATAAATCCTGATATCAGGTATTACCATTCAAATGTTACATTGCGCACAGTGTGTTAAAAAAGTCCTGATATCAGATCTACCATCCACATATGTTACACTCTTGTTTCTTTGTTTCTTAATTTCAAGTAGAACTACACAAGAATTATTGATGCACTGTTGTCCTTGATTTTGAAATTAAAAGCTAGAGGAAAAGTAATTAGTTAACAGCACCCATTTCATCAAACAATATGATCTGATCATTGCTCTTCAAGCACACATACAGCAACATATTTGTGACAATACATTGTGAATCATATATCCTTGGATTCACAATCCAGGCATGTTAACCAATATATCATATTCAGATGCTGTTACAGTCTATCAAATCAAACTTAAATGATCAGCTGTGAATTTAACCAATGCCTTTCCTTGTCCAAACATTTTCAGGATTAAAGCTGTTCTTAAGATGGAGGAGCTTGATCCAATCACAGATAACTCACAAATAAGAAAGAGAAGTGAGAAGTTCAGAATAACAAGTTTGGCACAATCTTTTAATCAAACTACAACAATAAATTTCACTATTTTACAATCTTAAAAAGTAGCTACATAAAATTTTTTTTTCCTTGAAAAATTACTAACACAAAATGGAGACCAAAATTAAAATAATGCAGTGTTGATTTTATTCTCTCTCCCTGTTGCCATGTCAACTAACCCACTAGCAAGAATAAACATCCACAAAAACGTTTATGGGAAACTACTACATTAACATAATTAGACAAAATTTTCCAATAAAGGAAATAAAAAGCAACTTCTTCCATCACTTTCAAAGAAAAAAACAGAATAACTTTAAAATATGATACAGTAAAAAATAAGTTTGTAACTTATATCTAACTTTGAAGATATCAATAAATGTGAAAATAATCATATATAATTGAACAATTTCACGATAATCTTTGAAAAAACCAAGTCATGTACACTTTTACTTAACAACAATTAGAGCTTACTTGTTTTAAACAGTGACAGTTCATTTAAGATTAAAAAACTCTGTATCATTGATAAGAACAAATCAAAGATTCTTTACTACTAGATATTGTTTCTTTGTAGTTTATATGACTATGACATGGAATTCACAAGCAAGGTGAAGAAAGACCAAAAACATTACAAAGATCTTGCATTATGAATATCTAAGTCAAAGGTGTTACCCCGATAAGTCAGAACACTTGCTTATAAAACAGCAAAAAACATTGTTATGAAAAACACTTTGTGCATTTTTATAACAAAAAAATTGAAGTTATGTTAATGTGTTCTACAACCTACCTGGAGGTCGGAAAAACTGTGGAGACTTTGGTGGATAGGGCTGGATGGGGCGTCTGAGGTAGCCCTGTGTGGGTTCAGCTGTCAAGTAACTTATGGTGTAAACACGACTAAGGTCACCAACAAAGATGTTTTCTTTATCTGGATAACTACCAGAACGTTTATGCCCATACTATATTAAAACAAAAATTGACATTGTGATGACAGCTGAATAGAAACTGGGTAAGTTTTCAATACTGAAACATGTAAAGGAACCTAGAAAACACCAACACATTGTAATGTAATACTAAAGTTTTCTACAATGAAACATGTACAGGAACCTAAAACACACCAATACAATGTAATGTAATACTAAATAAGTTTTCTATACTAAAATATGTAAAGGAACCTAAAAACACCAATACAGTGTAATGAAATACTGAGTAAGTTTACGATACTGAAACATGTAAAGGAACCTAAATAATACCAATACAGTGTAATGTAATACTAAATAAGTTTTCAATACTGAAACATGTAAAGGAACATAAATAATACCACAGTGTAAAGTAATAGTGAGTAAATTTTATATTCTGAAATATGTGCAGAAACCTAGAAAAAAAAACATAATGAAAAACTGTCCAACAAAGAGTAAAATTAATTCCTGGATTTTCACTGATTATGAGAGTCAATAACTGCCAAACATTCACCTGACCAAATTAAATTTCAACTTCTTTAACAACTGTAATGAAAATCCTGTTTTAATTTTGGTAATTTAAATTTCATCACTCACGGGATATTGCATGTGCAGCATCAACACCTAGTAAAGCTTTGGTTTACCCACAGACTATCAGTATGTTTCAAAGTAACAGCATCAAGTAGTAGTAAAACTAAGGTTTGCCCTAAGACTGACAGAATGTTTCACAGCAGCAACAACAACAACAAGATGTAGTAAAGTTAAGGTTTTCCCTAAGACTGGCAGCACATTTCAAAGCAACAAGATTTAGTAAAGCTACAATTTTGCCCTAAGTCTGGCAGCATGTTTCACAGCAACAAAAACAAGACGGTGTAAAGCTAAGGTTTATCCTAAGACTGGCAGCATGTTTCACAGCAACCACACATGAGGGAATGCTGAGGTTTGTCTTAAGACTGGCAGCATGTTTCACAGCAACCACACATGCGGGAATGCTGAGGTTTCTTTTAAGACTGGCAGCACGTTTCACAGCAACCACATATGCGGGAATGCTGAGGTTTGTCCTAAGACTGGCAGCACGTTTCACAGCAACCACACATGCGGGAATGCTGAGGTTTGTCCTAAGACTGGCAGCACGTTTCACAGCAACCACATATGCGGGAATGCTGAGGTTTGTCCTAAGACTGGCAGCACGTTTCACAGCAACCACACATGCGGGAATGCTGAGGTTTGTCCTAAGACTGGCAGCACGTTTCACACCCTTTAAGATTTTAAGTAATTTATCCCACAAGCTTTTTTATTATATCAAATTCCTTGTCATAAAAAAAACAGCTTGAATAAATATTTATATGTGAAAGTTTTTTAAACACTAAATAGACAAGATCAGTGTTCATTGAATCTTTCTGATGATGAATAACATTTAAATTATTTTAAATAAAACCTCCTCATTTGTTTTACATGTGACGTAGTACGAGTTAGAATTTCTGTGTAAAAAATATTTGTTGAAAAGAGAAATCAAAAAGACTTAATAGTAATTAAAACAATAAATAAACATTTTATAATAATTACAGTCTCTTCATGTATACCTTTACATTTCTCTTATTCTTATTTCTCTTATATTCTTAGTAATTAAGTGGTCTCCTTCAAAAATTGTTCAATTATATATCATTAACCTTTTCTTAATTTTCATATCTGGGAAAAGAAAAAGAAATTTTGCATTCAATTAACAAAGTTTGAACTCAATATGAATTTAGTAATATACCTGTATACTTTTGAATTTAAAAAAATAACTTGTGAATTTTTAAATTATCTTCTAATCTTTCACTTCTCACTTATTTTTCCACACCATCTGCATGCCAAGAAATAAAGCATGATCAGCAAACTGACGTTAACTCAGCTTCAAATGTAGAGTAAGCAAAGATGCATTGCATGAGCCATGCAGTTTTTTTTAAACATTTATAAAATTGTGTATTTGTCAGAATGTGTACTTGTTTAACACATCATCACACTACTAACCTTTCTCGTCAAAGAACCATGGGGGCTTTGTGAACGTGAACTGGACAAACTCGGAGAATAAGAGCAACCTACTGTACGCTGCCAATCAAATGAAAGAAACATAAACTTCTTTTAAAAAAAATTTATCGACAGCAGCCATTACTACAATATACCACATGCATTAATAAAAAAAATTATATTTAAGCAACAATTATTACTAACACTAACCAAATAAAAGTTTAAAAATATGCAATTTTCAATTAAAGCTCAATAATTCATCCAAATCATTATTTTCATAAGCATCTAAATAAAAAGCTAAAAAATTAGCATACTAGTTCACATGCTAATGACAAATTCAAAATAATTTTCATACACGTGCAACGTGTCAAACGTCAGTGTCATAAAAGAATATACAGCAGTCCTTACTTTTCCAGAATGAATTGTATCAAACCAGAAGCAAAACTCTCCAAGAGTTAATACGATAGAGTATTTTACCTCACCATCAACCAGATCTTCTTTAGTTTGGCCATTTATATAACCATCAGCTAGTTTTTCTTCAGGTGCTGGCCCACATCTTGGATGCCAGATGGCTCCACCTGCAATATTCCAACGTGCATTATTATCACCTGCATTCTTTATACATGGTATTCTGTTTCTCTTTCCTTACTTTACTTTTAACTAGAAAATTATTCCCGTCCTGACGAAGGGAGGACTTGAAACTAGTACTATAACAGAAGGACTATATCTATAGCATATTAGGGCTAGAACTATGTGGTGGCTTGAAATTAGTACTGTAAGAAAAGAACTAGGTCTGTAACATGTCAGTTTGAAACTAATACTGAAACTAAACCAAATAAAACATTTTAAAATTAGGTTTACTGTGTCAAATATCTTGAATTTTATGTTTCTAACAATATTTTTATTCGACGATATAGCTATTGTAGCTACATTAGAACGACTATACCTAGACAGGCAGATAGGGACAAATAAACTGATAGTTACCTTTTTCTGTCCATTAAAAAAAGATAAACATGGTTCATACTCAATTAATCAGATCAATTTTGAGCACTTTTCAAGGACTTTCTAAGCTCTTTCAGAATCTTTTTCAATCACTTTTTTGAAAACTAACATCTATACCAAAATCAATCGGATTCCACTGAAATTTTATAAAATTCCTGGTTATTTGTTCAACGTGTGAATGTAGACTAAAAGGAAAAGAATGCATTTATTTATTGGGCTCAACTTTGCAACATGCATTAAAGTTAGATATATTCTGCTATTATGATATTTTTAAGTACTTTTGCAAAAAAAAAGGCCCCTTTTCAAACACTTTCAAGGATGTTTATGCACACTGTATAAAGCAGCAAAACATGTGGTATGGTTGCTCGAGTTGTCTACAAAAATATTTCATCAAATTAATTAACTCATTATCATCAGATTAGATCTACATTAAATATATACCAAGGAGTGTCTGAAAACTCTGCCAAGATGTACAGTATTTAGTTTGTCGTGAAAGTTACTCTGTTGTCACATAAAGCTCTTTGCAAGGGTTGAAAATGATTTTCAACTGTGTCCAGTTTACAGGCACTGCATTTTATATCTCAAAATATCTTCCTCGAGATACAAATATATAAAACCCTTTTTTCACAACTTGTAGCCTATACATTTATTTCATATTAAAAATTTTAATTGCTTCTGCTAGGTTTCTGTAAACATCAAAAAATACATATTGTTTAGAAACTTGTTTTAAATAATCCAGAATCACAATGGGTGTTTAATTTTTTTGCATTTGTGTGATCCTTATGTTAATTAGAGTCCTGTGACCAACAAAGTAATAGACCCACAAGCAATTTGTTGCATAAATAGGTTATAAAAATGTGCTTACAAAGCCAATGATGTTGATGGACCCCAATTCTAGGGTTAATCACCTGACTGCTGACATATGGTTACATTTATCAAGAAAGCAAAGCTGATAAAAAACATTATATAAACCAAACTTCAAACAAGATCAATCAATCAGAAGATTTATTCATGTGACTATTAGTTCATGAACCATCATTCATAAATAAACAACTTTCATACCCAGGTTACAGTACTTTTCATATAAAGAAGTAAAGAAACCAATACTTTATAAAGAAAAACCTTACATGAAATGTTATGGTTTTTAAAGTTAGTTCTAAATGTTGAAGTTAGTTATTCATTAGGATAAAGTATAATGTTGTCTTAAAAATAAGACACTCAAAAAACATTCACATTAACAGTATAACACCGAAGTAGCTGGTATCTACTGTTAATAACTAGACATTTTTAATCAGACAAAAACATGTGCTGATAGCTTCTATTACTATGTCACAACATGACCATCTTTTTATTATAACTTAGCAAAAACACAGAACTGTTAGTCAATCACTCTTTGATGAAAGATACTTCACACAGTGTCATTACCTTGCATGTACATTTCTTCACCATCACCAAATGGATCACCACATTTAGAGCACCGGGCACAGCTTGGGTGGAAATGGTGATTGTCACCGGCCTGAAATACAGAGCATTTATGCAGCTGTATTAAGCCAAGAAAGGATTGCTAAATTTAGTAAATTTATTCATCAAAAACTGGCTAACCTAAAGAAAGTTAACTTTAATTGCAGAGAAATGTCTTGTTAAACTACATGAAAATAATGTATCAAATGCTGACTTAACCAAGGAAAGTTGACTTCTATAATTGTTGTAGATAAACCTGTTATTAAAGTACATGAAGCTACTGTAACAAGTACTGGCTTAACCAAAGACAGCTGACATCTTTAGCTGCAAAGATACAATTTGTCAAACTATGTGAAGATACTGCTACAAATATTGGCTTTACCAAGAAAAGTTGATATCTCTAGTTGCAAAAAAATGCACTAAACTACATATGCAAGGTTATTGTTCCAAACACAGATAGTTGAATTCTCTACTTACAAATGATTAATATGAAATCTTCCCCAGCATGAAAATAACTGTTACATACCTAGCATTATTGGTAAAATATAAGTACAGAAAATATTCATTATTTTAAATAACTTTACAGGCATCAACTATATCAAATAGAGAAATATGCACATCTAAATTTGTTACAACAACAATGAAAAAGCTGTCATAAAGTTAAATTCAACATACAAAATTTGTAAATCTATTTCGCTGAAAAATAAAAGAGGAATGATACCACATCCTTTAAGCATAATATAATAATAATACTGGAAAATAACATTAATAAAACAGAAGGAAAGGAAATCTGTACCACCTGTTCATAAAACTTGTCTAACATTGACAGTTAACATTTTCCTAAATTGAAAATGTATTTCCAATAATACTTACCTCCACTGACACTTATAACTATTACTCGATCACCAGAGTTTCTTCTTTGCCCACCTAATCATTAGTCTGATTTGTTCTCACTTGCTCCAGTTTTTTATACCCCACTCAATTGCCCTTGGCAATAATTATCTTGTCATTCTCTACACCTACATCAATGCACCCTCTATCCTGGTAGTGTATATAAGCACTGCATTCAGATAATTTTATCACTCTTTCTAGACTAATACCATCCCAGTCTCTAACACCGGCTTTTAGTGGGGAGGAAGGGCGAGATAGTGTCAGCAAAGGTACGTAATATTGGAAATACATTTTTGATATAGGAAAATTATAACTTCCAAAACATACTTACCTCTGCTGCCACTTATAAATAGAATCCCACACTGAGGTGGGGCCAGTGAAAGCATTATCTATACAGAAAGCGTCTGCATAGGTCATGGGTGTACCAAGATAGGAGTGACACCCAAGTGAGGAAACCGCTCTACATCTAGAACAGGTATGTTCTTCACCCTGAACTTAGTTCCTGTACCAAGAATGAAATCATACATGAGTAATCATCACTATAGACCAGCTCCAACCAGATAGCTGAGGTTCCACTACTCGGGGTTGGAATTAAGGGGTCTTGGTCCCTATATCCCACTTTGGTGACTAGAGCAATTGGACCTCAACGTTATATATATAGATATACTTGTGATTGGATTCCAACCTGTAGCCACATGGTGACATGTTCCAAACCACTGGAATCACAACAAACAAGTAAACAACACCGAAGCAGACAAACCTTCTCATCCACCTGAAAAAGCCAAAAAGGCAACATCCCAGGCTCGAAATGATGGGATCCTTTATGTCTTACTCAACCAAAAAAGCAGAACTCATCCAATCTGGAATTATGAATATTCATCCTCACTCCCGAACAAAGTGGGCAAGGAGCCTTCCACTTGCCCCTGGAATTATGGGGAGAACGTGAAACACCTGTGCTCAAACAAGGACCCAGGATGGGGCCATTCTGCATTCAGAATTACAAAAAGATAGTGGACCTCCTTCCATGAACAATATACTGAACTGATATTGATTAAAAAGAAGGGTCATGCACACCCCAACTGGATAGTCGAGCATCAAATCTGAACCAGTATTATGAATAGGCTCCCACATAGGCTGGCACCGCTCCTACCAACATCTGGGAAACAACATCCATCTTCTCAAAGAGTGGAGGAATTCACTCAAACACTGGAGGAAAAGCCTCTGTCCACCACCCCAGTGACTGGAAATCGGGTGTGGTAAGAACTCTCTAGCTCCACTAGTAGAATTTGGGAGGTAATGTGCATTGGGGAGTCCTGAAGAACACTGCTCTGGAAACAGTGCAAGAGGTGAACCAAGTTCCCTAAATTTTTAAAAGCAAACCGACCCCGATTTAGTTAATCCGATGATTGGCAGGGACAGGCAGGATCCCCTTTAGCTTTACTCATAATAGTTCCATGAGTGGGGGTCCAACATAGTATGGTAATACCACCTGGTGAGCTCCTAGGTAGTCTTACGGAACAACTCATTTCTACAGAGCCTGTTGCAACTGGTATTAATTATAGTGAAATAGTGGTTGCTAGTGTGGAATTGGTTTAAATAAAAGCCCACCTGCCTGGCCAACACTCATCACAGAGTGGGATCTTGTGAAAACAAGGTAAAGGACCCTGAAAGGTAGAAATAAAAATACTCACCCCTTTGGATAATCAAGAAATGGTTAAAATAGCTCAAGGTGAAGAGAATGCCAGATCAGGCAAATAACCCGAGATAAAGGTATTAGAGGGAGGTCCACATACCAGTCCATTTATTAAAATCAACTAGATAAAACAATAACATTCAAAGTATCTCAGAACAATCATAATACTGGGAAACCCATTAATGACACTTTTTGAAGAAAAAGTGACTAAATTATCTGAATGAGGTGCTTATATACAATACCAGGATAGAGGGTGCAATGACGTTGGTGGAGAGTATCGCAAGACAAATATCACCAAGGGCAATTGAGTGGGGTATAAAAGACTGGAGGAAGTAAGAAAAAATCAGACTAATGCTTAGATGGGCAAAGAAGAAACCCTGGCAGTTGAGTAACAGCTATAAGTGTCAGTAAAGGTATGTATGTTTTGGAAGTTGAAAATATTAAGTAAAATCAAAAATACGTTTTTAGACTAAAATGAGTGCACTTTTTAACAGACAATTAAGATTATTTATTATAGAAGCTTTGGATCTCCTAACGTTTTACAAATGCTTTCATTTTATTGTTCTTTGAACCATGTCTTAACTACTGTGTCATGATATAAAAGACTGTTTTGTGTAAATATTATTAACTGATATATATTTTGTGAGTGAATATTTTATGATTGTTTAGCTTTGTTCATAACAAGAGAGTTAGAAACAATTATTTTAAAGTAAATGTTAGTACAAGTTTATTTAAGTAACTTGCTAACAGTTGTACGTGATGTTTGTAACTCACTGATGTTGAGATTATCGAATGTCGCATGAAATTTATTGATGTTCAGGATATAGCAAGCAGAAGATTAAGTAACAAACATATAAATAGTGTGAGATGAGCAGGAAAAGTAGACAGACAGAGTAGATGAGAAGTAAAGTTACGAGAAGGAATTTGGCCAAAGAAAAGTTAAACTCAAAGTTAATCATCATAGGAATGGAAAGCCTAATGATTAATATAGGTCCAATGAGACTAACAGTGTTGAAAGAGAGTTCAAAAGTAATTGAACTAGCCTCATTGGAATTTGACAAATAGACAGACAATTCTCGGAAATACTAAGAGAGAAAAAGGAGCAGATGATTTTAGAAGTATAGGACACAACTGTGGTTTGGCTTGTTAATGGGTATTCTGAAGCAATTGAAGAGGCCTAAGTGGACTTTTGACAAAAAGAAGAGAACTATATATTGTTTATGATATGCCTACGATCTCTATAATGTAAAGAATTTGTTGTACATATGTTTAACTTGTTCCAAATATATATATATATATATATATATATTATTTTGAAAATAACTGGAGTTAGTGCTGTTCATTTTTTGAATTTATCACCAACACGTCACAGACACCTACTGTAGAAGAATCTTAGAAGAATCAACAGCAACACAATATATATTTATACTATGAAGAAGTTTAAGTAAAAGTTTTTAATTGACAATTGGTGAACATAGCATTTGACAGACTGCAAGTAGCAATACATTACCCAGCAGGAGTGCAGAAATTGTAGGATAAACAAAATTTCAGGTTACATCACATGTAGTTTAACCATGTATACTCCCCTGTATAACTTGAGACAAAAAATTTTTTTTCATTTAATTTTTTACCTCACCTAATAACTTTTATTAAAGAATATATATCAACATATAAAAAATAAGAAATTTAGCACTTACTTGAGAATAGAGGCCTTTTGCTCTAGAAAACCTGTCTCTATTAACCCTAAATTTTCCTCAATAAGTTGGTTCTCCAAAAAGTAATTCATGTAACTTTAAACTATATATTTTAACTCTTTAAACCTGTAATATTTTGAACATTCTGAAGGAATTATTTTCATGGTTTCCTAATAATTAACACCATATCTTATAAACTTTCAATTTTATTAATATTGTGGATAATGATATGGTTTGGATTAATTTTCAGCCAAAGAGACATAAATGTTCTCACACTGATAAATCAGGATTTTAAGTTGGCTGCTGGCAGCATCTGATTGGGTTTAAGAAGTTAAAATACAAACAGTAGAACATAATGCCTCAAAACTATTACAATATATCTAACTTTCTAGCTAACCTGTAAAAAAAGGTTTAAAAAATTTCATTACTTACTCAAGTACCAACATTTGTCTTCACTTAATAAAATCTGCTTGGGAAATTGCACCTTTATCGTGTAATTCACACAATGGCCTTTCAATGTACCACTGAAAGTAAGCATGAGTGAGTAAGTAATTTCCAAAGCATGAAGAGTTGGAAAAAGTTTCTTTCATGAGTGTAATAAATTTATTGATATCTCACAAAATAAGAATGGTGGAAGGTTCTTATTTTAAGTTCTGGCCTGTCAATATATTCAGTAGGTGTTTCTAAATGGTGGACATTCTGAAACCCACATAATGGAACAGAGAAAACCTAAAATAAAGAATTCAGAACATAGAGGCATTACGTGATGCAGAAAAGTGAATGTGAGTATGTGAAAAAGTGAATATGTATTTTATGTAACTATTTTAGGAAAATTTAATATTGCTCTGAAATTTCTGAACCCAAACATGCAAGGCATGAATAAAATCTGTCAAAAAGGTTATATTATCACAAAAAATCAAATTAATTGTATACATTAATAAAAAATCGAGCTGCAAAACACTGCATTCTGTGAACTTGACCTCTAAGGCATTTGTTGTACAATACAGTATTTACAATGTAAAAACTTACAATATAAATTAAATGAAAGTTTTCAAAATTCAATATATTAAACTGATATTTCTTTTATTTTTGAGTTTTCCTACTGTTGATATTTATTTAAAGATATCACAATTTATTTGTTCAATGTTTTGATCATTCGCATAATCAATGCCAAATACTCAAAACTTGAGCTAAAATGTACAATAATGTAGCTTCTTTTTTATTTTATATAATAACATACTAATGAACAGTTGGTTATATAAGATTTCTAATCACAGGTCAGGAAAGTGTTAGGTTTTTATGTGTGTGTTTGTATCTTGAGGTTCTTTTTGTGAGGTTGAAAATACATAGAAGAAATAAGATATAAAAAATATACAAAAAGGGTCCTGGGTGTAGGCAAAAAACTGAACAGTTGTTGCATCATATTTTCAAATGTTTTCTGGAGGACTGGGTTCATTGTATAGATTCTTTGCACATATTTCATTTGTATTTGTGGAGTGAACAGGAATCTATTTACGTCAAGATCATGGTTTCACGTTAATCTTTTCCAGATTTCCATAAGGGGTATGCTAACATTTTCTAAAAAGAAACTGTGTTCGTAATTAGGGTTGGTCAGTTTCGATGTATGACTTTTGAATTCAAATGTCTATTAATATTGTCTTCTCTAGACTGTTTGAATTAATTTATGGTTTGCCTGACTATTTTGCAAAGGAATTAGTAAATTACAAGGATAGAAAACCAGTTTATTAAATTCCATTGAAATTTGTTTTTGTTTTTTGCATTGAAACCTTGAGGGGGGCTTGTATTATGTTTACATTTAAAAATTTACCATAAAGCTACTTTTACTTTCAACAGTGGATTATATTTCTTTATGAGTGTTGTAGATGTGTTGAAAGGATAACATTTATTCATTGTAACCTACAGATAACAGTATACATATTAAAATCAAAACAGAGCTTGTGTAAACATATTGTTCAATATAAGGTAGAAGAAGGGTGGCTAATATACCAATTCTAATTTGACATTTTTCTGCAGAAATGGCCTTAATACTATCAGAAAATGATCTAGGTTCTGTTTAATGTATAAAACAAATTCTGTAAATTATTGTTATGTTTTACTATCATACAAATATTTAAGGAGTACATGTATGTAAAAGAATAATGAAAACAAAAGTAAAAAAACTTGTTCCTGTTAATTCAGGAAATGTTGTTTTTTTTTGTTCAGAGAGTCCATGAATTTGAAGAAAGTATAAATCTTTGTACAGGAAAAAAATTCCTTTAACAAGTTATAAGATTGATTAAATGGTCTGGTTTCAAATTAATTCTATTTTTTGGTCTTGTAAAACAATGAATGATAAGTTTTATTGCTTGTTGTTGGGGAGTTTGAGAGAATCAATTTACAACATTGAAATTTACAGTGATATTACTGTCTAGAGTAGTATAAATGTTTATGGAAGAGTGAAGTATTTTTTATTATTGAGTTTATTTTTAAAATGTAAGGCTCCAGTATCCCATTTCAGTATTTGCAAAGATTACAGTTAAATAGAGTTGTAAAACAACATGTGCCCCAACAATTTGCACAGGCCACAATTTTGCCTGAAGCCAGCTCTGGATGTTTTTTTATAAACTATAAAGTTTGATTAGGTATATTTAGATTTTTAATTCAGTGTATTTAACATTAAAGATTCATATTGTTTGGTTGATATAATTACTACAGAATATCTTTAGTAGCTTCCTGGATATGTCTTGGTTGCTTCTAAGAAGTTTTAAGTCATTTTTTCTGCTGGCA